GTTCTTTAACGTGCACATGGGCCATAAATGCACACGGGACCAACGGCTTAAACGTCTCATCCGAAAGACGGATGATGCTTGATATTGTCAAAAGGCATACTCAAATGTAGAATTATCTTGGTCCAGGATTGACTAATAATTTAAATTGGGAATTATAACTGATATCATCATTGATGTGATGTTTTTTTTTTGTTTTGCCCTACCTGACATGAAATGGTACGTTTTTTTTACGAAATGGTAGGAACTAGACTGTTTCTTTTTCTTGGATAGATAGTATGTATGTAAGAACTACAGTATAACTACACCATATCTCCTATTTTTATGTATACATATATGTATTTATGACATACACAACACAAGATTTCCGAAGAGGTACGAAATGCTGAATAAATTTATTCTTATGAATAGTTTGTAAGGTACGAACCATACTATGAAGCTTGCCAAGAAGATGTATGTAATTGTAATTGCTCCAGAACAGACTGTGCCTGCAATTCATACGAGGCTTACGCAAGAGAATGTGCCAGACATAAGGTATACATTGACTGGAGAACAGAAGAGCGTTGTCGTGAGTAAAACACAATTTTGTAGATAACAATGTGTTGATACAATTGATGTAGCTTGGTGGTTAAGATGCTTGCCTTCCAAACACAGAAATAAGCCTCATAATAAGAATTTGTTTATATAGTATATAGAGCATTTGGGGAGGGGGGACTAGGAGGGGCCACATCCCCCTGTTCCGGAAGGCCATGCCCCACCATCGGGGAAGAGAGATTCGTTGGGGATAAAAAAATAATATTTTAAAATGTTTATATCAAATGTTGGTCTGAATTGCAGATAGGCTTATATAAATTAATAGTTCGGACGCCGATGAGATACAAAAAACACCATCCTTAGGACAAGATGCCCCATATGAGCGTCTAGCGGCTTATTATTTAAAAAAATATTCTCATTGCAGACAGGGAACGCCCCTCCCAAACCCTTCCCGACTTGACCCTATGGCCCTCAGATGGCACGTACCACAAATGTACAACTCTTGTCCTGCCTGTTGGGGGAATTGCCCTGCCATTGGGGAAGTCCTAGCGCCGCCACTGATTCCACTATAAAAGGGAATGTGAACCTCAAAGGGAAAGATTGAGTTTGTTGTTAGTTTCTTGTTTATTGATGTCAGGCTCCGGAGGAAAAAAATGTTTTGATTTGTTGTAGAACTGATTTTTCTAAGACAGAAAAAAGTTGTTTGACGAAAAACTGGGGAACAGTGAATGAGATACAGATTTTTTAATATTTAAAAACTGGGGGAAAAAGGGGTGTAACTGCCCATTTTTACACCTTATTCAAATTTTGAATTAAAACAAGTTAAAAATATACCGCATGAAATCCACATGGATTTTTAAAAATTAATAATAATTATTGATCTAACTACTACTATCGTTGGTATTCTATACTCCAAATTTTAATTAACATATTTATTATATGTCTTTAGCTATAACCTGTGATGCAGGATTGGTTTCCAAACAGTGTGGTTCCTCGTGTCCTCGAACCTGCTCTAGTGCTACATATGACTGCCTAGACAACCATTGCATTGATGGCTGTCATTGTCCAGATGACAAGGTTCTCCACAACAACATGTGCATAGAGCATAGCGAGTGTCCTTGCAATTACCAATGCAAAGAATACTCCTCAGGATCATACATAGAAAGTGGTTGTAATAAATGGTAAGTTGAATTCTTGGTGAGTCAGATGGGCTGTTAAAAGCTGAAATATATCTTTATTCCAGTTTCTTCCCATCCTTCATTCCTGCCTTTAGTTTGCAAAAGTCAGTCCCAAGTAGAAAGAAGTCATTTCTTGGGAGAATTGCAGTGGCCGATCCAAGAATTTGAAATATTGGGGAGCCAGGAAGAGACTTTCACAGATGAAAGGTCTACACTACACTGCCCCACTATGGTTGGGGCAGAGGTAAGAAAATTTATGATTATGGTATCTCTAATAGCAGGCAATAGCATTCTCAGACTTAAATTTGAAAAAGATTTCCTTTTTTTCTCCATTTTTCTTTTTACAGTTTTGGAAAATGTAGATGGAGGGAGTAGAGATCCACCTAGAATTCGCCACTGATATGCTTAATGAGCTTTTTTAAAACAATTAATTTTATTTTGCTGCATATTGTGATACGCATCAGCTCTGCCTGCTAATAAAGCAGTGAAATCATGCAAATATAAATTTGCCGGAGATGGGTTATTTCCCGGAGATTCTTGCTTGTTTGCAGGTGTGTTTGTTGAAGTGCTTGAAAAAAAAACCCATCTTGAAAAAAGGCCAAAACTTCTATTCGAGCTTATACAGTATTACAATTTAAAATAATGCATAATCCTTGCATGCCATTTTTTTCTAGTTTATGTAAAGGTGGAAAATGGAACTGCACAGAAGATATCTGCCCTGCAACCTGTTCGGCTGTAGGTGACCCTCATTATGAGACATTTGATGGGAAGCATTATCACTTTCATGGAGACTGTAGCTATACTCTTGTTCAAAGCTGTGATGGTCTGAATACTGATTACTCAATCCAAGTTGAAAATACCAAATGTGGATTTCAGAGCTATGCATGTACTAAGTAAGATTTTAGTTTTCTGATTTTTCTAAAACAGAGATCACTTTCATCCGTCCAGACTATTAAATTTTATTTTGACAAGAACATGTAACATGCCTAAATATGGTCATGATGTGATATCATCACGACCATATATAGGAACATTATGACTATATATGGGCATACAGCAGTTTCGTCTACTGCCATACTATGTCCGATCACCACTCACAAACCTACACCACCACACATGCATGAAGTTTGCTGTATGGCGGCTTCATGGGCGCTCTTCTGCAGGGTTTCTCATGCAGATCTGGCAGCAGCATGCCGGTGATCGGATATTACTTTTTATCTTGCTACTTGTGGGATGATATTTTCACCCATGCATCAGCCGTGGCCTCGGTTGTTTTGAATCCGTGTGTATTGGTAAGTTTTTCTGGTTTCTGATCACATCCGCCTCCGCTTGTACGCTGCTATAACCTGGCAGGTATTCGGTTTACCTAGGTAAGTAATAATGAAATAAACTACACAAGTCCATCATGCTGTTGGTATTCTATGAGTGAGGTAACCTTCCTTCCTTTCTGTTGCCACTTCAACCTAAGTGATCCGATTAGTGTAGGCAAAGTTATGACGTTCTAATGAAACGACTCCTCGTAATCGAGCTCAAATCTCGTTAAAAACACACTAATATTGCCAATATTTTCGTAATTCAACCCAAAAATATTTTATCAGGTTTAATGGTAATGGTCTATTTTGAAACAGCACCGCCAACGTCTCACAACTTTTCACTGTTGACTTTCAGCGGCCTAGCCTAGCCAGAGCAGCTATCTAGTAGCAAATAGAGCATTACGCACACACTGGTAACAAATACCTAGGTCTCTGGATATCCCCAGTGCTAGTTGCCAGGTTATCGTAAATTTTCATTCCAAGTTTAACGAAAATGGCGTATACCTACAAAGAATCATGAAAATTATTGCCCCAATGAAATTTGTATTCATGATTCTCCAGTTTCCTAGCTGATTTAAGATGTATGCATGTACATCAGTGATGTAAGCTTGATTTTTTTTCCCCTTGGAGATATTTTCATCTATACTTGTAATGTTTCAGAACTTGTCAAGTGTATTGATATGATTTGTTTATAGGAAAGTTATGATCAATGTTGGAGCAACTAAAGTAAAGCTTCATCAAAAACATATTCTGACAGTGAATGGTGAGGATATAGATACAACAGAGTTACCTTACTCAGCTAGTGGAGTTTACATTGAGCAGGTTTCATCTATATACCAAAGGGTAGGAGTTATGTTTTCTCTCCCTTATCTTTACACAGTATCTAAAAAAAAAAATATGTACTGATTGTCTGACTGTCTCGAGGTTGGATAATGACTAATGTAGAGGGATCGAGACACAGTGTTTTGTTTTAAGGTCAGTTTAAAAGCATAACAAAAAGCCAATAATCCAATGTAAATAAACGATAATAATATTGATCGCTGGGTAGACATTGCAAATGATCAGTTCCGATACACATTTGAACATAATATGTAATAAAGAGAGCATGTTGCATGTATTATGTGGGTGAAAGTAAAGCTAGCTGCATTTAGTAGCATTGCAGAAGGGGCTGCAAATGGCATATTGGTCTCTACCGCCACCGTTTACAGCTGTAAGGAGAGCAATGATAATATCTTTCAGTAAAAGCCTAGGATATAAGTTTAAATTTCTGAATGTTCTATTGAAATATCTTTCAACTTTATTGTCATTGTCAATAATATTATCGTAAATTAAAAAAACATTTCATTGACTAGGAGTGATAAGGTATACTTAAATAAAACGTATCTGAAGCTTCTCGATGAAAAACAATGCAAACCAATTATTTTAGAATTTACAATAAGTTGAATAAATTAATTTGGATGAACAATAATGGAAGCAACTAGGCAAATACTAACCAGTGTTTAGGCAAGACCTTTCGTATATCTTGCTTTGCGAACCCACCGCCTGCAAATAATGTTGATTTTAAATTTTAAAAATCTTTTAATTTTGACCTGTTTGTTGCACCTGTTGCACAAAAAGTTTAGAAAAAAACATGTTAAATTAAATTAAATTCAATGTTTATTGTCTAATAGAAATAAAGAAATTTGTCGTTGGTACACACTGGATAAATTTTTACGTTACACAACATTAAACATAAGAAAAAAAAATATTCACCAATTGTTTGTAATCCAGGCAGCGTCTGGGGCTATGAGGTACTGCCACCCGCATTTTGACGACCCAGAGGTGTACTTATATATATATTATATTAGTATTTATATTCATGGAATATGAGGGTGGTTTTTGGAGGACATTATCCTTTTTATGCTCACTACTATATTTTTTTTTCACAATTAAATAATGTACAGCATTTATCAATTATGGTTACTGTGTTGATACATCACTACATCACATTCTTTACATGATTTGATCTCCAGCAAGGGCCTAAGTGCACATTCTATTACTATTTCTGCTACTGTATGTTCTTCACATGATTGAATAAAAGACATACTTTACAATATTTTATTTTTTAAGATTGTCTCTTATTTTATTGATTTTATTACTTCCATTATTTATTTATTATCTTGGAACTTAAAATTTAAGAGTCAATAAGGGGCTAGAGGGGGTGCTTTATTGCTGAATTTGATGCTATGTATATAATAATAATTAGGTTTAAAAAAGTTCAACAATTTTTTTATTCGTAGGTTACATTGGATAATGGCCTTATCGTCTTGTGGGACGGATTCGTTCGTGTGTATGTTACAGCGCCACCAAGCTTCTTTGGAAAGTACAAGATGTGTGGACTTTGTGGTTCATATGATCGTGTGCAAAATGTATGTACAAAATTTGACTATTATGCTTTTTCTACACTATGAATTTGTACGTATAGTTGTGATTTGCAGTGAACCCATATGTGAGGTCTCACTACAAAATGAGTCTCATCGTTAGAAAATCAAAAAATGAGTTAATATTACATTTTGGTAGATCACATTATAGGCTTTAATTTGGTCTTTGAATGGCTTCCCTAGGATAAATAGATCCAGAGATATTAGCATTTAAAGTTTAGGTGTATGAGAACCAGGTTTTGAGAATATCAGCCTCAAAGATAAACTAACCTGTACAAATGATAGGACTAGAATTACAGAATATGCGAAGAGAACACTGTTTTAGTAAGAAAATTCACTTAAAAAGTACACAATCATAAAATATAAGTTATTCAAAAATATTAAAATCAAAATTTTGTAAAAATGTTGCCTTTGAACTATTTTGGTGAATATCTCAATATGATTTCCCCAACGATGCATCTCATTTCGTGGTGAGACCTCACATATGTGGGTCTGGTACGAAATCATATATGGGTGTAAAATGACATTATCATGTTTATATATGGGAAAATCTCTCAAATTTATCACATAAAACATGAGATTATGGACAAGCTTAAGGCTTGAGCTACTATAAGATTTTAAGCTATAAGATAAGCTCCACACAAATATCGGTTTTGAGTACACTATAGGAGGTTGAAGGCAATTTTTGAAGGAAATAATGGTTCTTAAGGCTCTTATTTCCTAGTGTACAAAATTACTTGACTATAATTGCTTTATAAGTCAGTTGTGATGTCCATCACCTTTTCTAGCGGCCTTTTATTACCATACTGTTGGTGAGAGAGTTTGCTGTTATTAATTATTTAATTTTCAATTATGTGTTTTTTGTGACAAGCAAATGTGATATGCCCATATTTATCATCATGGCCATATATGGCCATCACTCAAATTTGCCACATAACATTTGACAGTGTGGAGATGCTTTAATAATTGATAATTTTTTTTTCTACTTTTATTCTTTGTTGTTTCTTTGTGATACCCTGTATGCACTTGATAAAGCTATGACCTGGGTTTTATGCTACATTCTATTTATTGTTTTGTATAAAGAATGATTCGATATTGGTTATTACCTTTTTCAAATAAATATTTGAACCTGAAAAAATTTCTTAATGAATTACAGAAATTCTGGCAGTCAGTTTAAGTATATTCATTGTAAAAATCTGTAAACCAACAAATTCCAATGCTGGGTATTGCCTTTAATTTCTATTTAACCTTCCATTATAACTTGATATAGACGGTTTGAACTGCATTTCAAATCATATTTATTCATCCCTTGTAAATAATTAATAAATGCCAAAAGCAAGAAGGCAATCCTGTAGACAGGTTCTAGTAACTAAATTTATTTTAATTTACAGTTAATTGCAAAATTTTCGAAGAATTATACAAATTTCTGTAACGATAATAATGATAATATTAATAATAATAATATTAATAGTAATAATAATGATAATTATTAATTTATACCAATTAACTGGTTGTGATGATAATAATAATAATAATAATAATAATAATAATAATAATAATAATAATAATAATAATAATAATAATAATAATAATAATAATAACTAGACTTACTATGTCTGTTTGTACAACAGAACATAGGGTTTTTCCTCATTGCTATAATGAGAAATGAAGTTGAAATTGCAACAAAAAAAATGGTGTTGATTTATTTTAAGTCAAATATTTGGGACATGAAATGATGTAGATTGTCAAGTTTTTTTGTTAAAATTGTTAAAATTAAAAAGTTTCTTCAGAGATTCCAACAAGGAATGTTTTTGCCAGTTCTCTGTCTGTCATACAACCATTATTTTTGGTAGGTATGCAAGCACACTCATATATTTTCATTTTTTTAGAATGATTTTATGACAAAAGCAGGAGACATAGAAAAGCAATCTTCATGCTTTGCATCCAAGTGGAAGGTAGACCCCTCCTGTCCAGTAAATAAGTATGTATTTGATAATACAAGCCCCTGTGACATCTACTCTCATCGCAAGCTACTGGCTGAAGCACAGTGCAAACTTCTAAAGAACGATATATTTGTTGGTAGGTAGTTTGGATTTGCTTCACTATATTTACATGAAAACATATTAACTGGTCGAGTCTGATAACTTTGTCCTTCGACAAGACATGCCTTAAGATGCTATAGGCAAGTTTTATTCTGTTTTTAAGTCCTTACTGAGAAAAATTGGTCTTGCCAAACAATGCCTGGGTGAGAAGGGTCTTGAACCAGCGCCAAAGACTGCTGTTAAAAAGCACCACTGCCTTACCACTCGGCTACTTGACTCCCAAAGCAAAGAATCAGTTTTTGAAGCAATGTTTTGAGTAACCTACTAATACAATTTTCTTGCACTAAAATATTTAATTACTAGACTCTATATAAAAACACACATTTTAGATCTCTTAAGATAGGTGTGCATTTATTTTGATTCTGCTACACACTTGCATTCTGAAAAATTCAAGAGAAAAAGAAAAGAGATGGCAATGAAAGAAAGTACAACTGTAGAAGGAAAAGCCAAGAATGGTAAAAACAATGAAATAAAATGATAAAGGAAAAAGGAGAAAAAGAAAGAAAATGAAGGAAAAGAACAGAACAATTATCAAAGGAAAATAAAAAAGAAAACAAAAGAAAATAAAGAAAAGAAAACGGAAAGAAAAGAATAGAATAGAAAGATAAAAAAGGTAAGAAAGAAAAAGGAGAATAGAAAAGAAAGTAAATTAAAAGTAAAGAATAGAAAATAAAAAAATGGAAAAGAAAGAAAATGAAAGAAACAAAAGAAAGAAAAGGAAATGAACAGAATTGAAAAGAAAGAAAATGAAAGGGAAAAAACCAAAAGAAGGAAAATAACAGAATTGAAAAGAAAAAAGGTGGAAGGAAGGAAGGAAAAAAGATAAGAAAGATAAAAAATGGTAAGAAAAAAATAGAAAATGAAAGGAAAAGAAAGATAATGAAAGGAAAAGAAAGGAAAAGAAAAGGGAAAAGGAAAAAGAAATGAAAAGAAAATGAAAAAGTAGAGAAAAAAAATGGTATTAAACAAAATTAATGCCAAACTGTTACCAAGTAATCAGGAGATTGTTAATAAATCAGAAAAAAGAAACCCAAAAAACCTAATTAGTTTCACTAGAACTGAAAGGTTCACTGATTAATCTTGGATAAGATAGTATAGTAAATACTCCAAGTGTTGAAATGCTTGCCATCGTGTCAGGATTCAATATTTCGACATTAATTATGTCATCATCAGGAACGAAAAATTATCCATATTTGCAAGCTTATATGCACAAGTACCAAAAGTGTTTGACCAATCAAAACATTACCCCTAGTAGGTGACATAGCAATGAATAAACTAAAGATCAAAGCATCCTTAACCTACTGATCAAAGTTACCTACAAAAACAAAGAAAGCTCCTTTGAAGCTTTCAGCCCATTGTTAAGCAATGGGTGTAGCCTATATTGCACACATTTAAATATGGTTTAGTAGGAGATAATTTCACTAGTAACGGTAAGGTATGAATCCACGTACGAAGGGACAACAATTAGATGCACACATTAAATATGGTTTAGTAGGAGATAGTTCTTACTATAAATTATAATAGGTGAAGTATGGTAGGTAAATAGGGTAAGAAAACACAACATCAAATACCTTTCGCCTAATAGTAAAATAATAATAAGGTGTTGGTCATATTATATTGTTAGTCCTAATATATTCATAAAATAATTGGAAAACCAACACAAAGTACAGATCTTGCCCACTCTCTGGTTAGCTATACCTAATTTTTCCATAGAGCTATGAACAACTGAGTGCTGTCTAGGCGACGATGCAATGCAGAGTTGTGTATATGTACTCAACAAGTTGGCTGCCGTAGGAAAGCGCCACATTAAGGAATTTCTTGAAATCACTATTTTAATAAAACCAGCCTAGCCAAAAAGAAGCCAAATTGAGTATCTGATGTACGTAGGAATGAAAATAGAAATTGTGTATGGTACGCTACACCATTGCAATGCTCGAGCTTGAACATACGGGTAACTAAGCTGCACTCAAACTTTGATGGTTAAATTAAGGGCGCCAGTGAACATGATGCTTAGGCATATTTTGATTGGCTGGATCTACAGCAGTTATCTTGTTAAGTACACACACACAGCTCTGCGTATTTTGAACATCAAATGCGCTGGAGCTCTACCCTACCAGATACTGTACCTAAGAAAAATATGGCAGAAGAACTGTTTGGACAGCTTGCATCAAAATTTATAGAACGTCCGCCCTCTGCAAGCAGAGTAATATTTGATAGAGTGGAGAAACTACAAGGAAACAAACAAACCTGAGAGGTGCCTTGATTATAAATATATGGCGCCACCAATCAGATGAAGTATTTTGATCTCTGGGAACCCTATTCTCCCACAATGCACTTCGACCTGAAGTTCAACTATATCACATTTATCTTCTATTATCTTTGACTGTACCACTGGGTAGAGAGAAACAAACATTGGTAACATGCCAGACAAAGGCAAAATGTTTGAATCCTAACCACAAGGTGTTTAGTTTTTATCAAAGTAATATATTCAGAATTTTAGTCAATGTAAGTATGATTTTAAATGGACTAAATACAGAATGAAATCACTTATAAATACAGTTTTTAAATTTGACATTTTTATTAAGTCTAAGATTAGAATTGTCCATATTATTGTTTTGAAATGTTCAGGACAAAATAAAAATATAACTAAGTCACTACAAATGGAATATTTTCCTTTTCAAGTTTGTAGTCGTGTTCTTTCGGTTGATGAATACTTCGAAAACTGTAAGTACGATGTCTGTGCCAACTCTGACATTAACGTATTCTGTGCTAGCATAGCGGACTATGCTGATGCTTGTGGAAGAATAGGGGTGCCAATAATGAACTGGAGATTATCTTATCCTGAATGTGGTGAGTAAAATACACCTGAAATTTTAGATAAAGTGTAAACTATAATAAAAAAAATATATAAATATTTAACGAATAAATAACAAATCACTATGGTTTTGAAAAAACATTGGAAAGAAAGAACTATATCATGAGATGTGACATTAACATTATTTTAGTATTTAATTCAATTACATTAATTAATACAATTGTTCATGTTTGGTGCTAAGAGACTCATTTTTTAAATTTTATTACAACTCCTTCTCTTTAGCTGTAACATGTAGTGGTGATACTGTATACCAAGAGTGTGGATCAGCTTGTGAAGTATCATGTGCAGCCCTCACAACTAACATGTTGTGCAAGGAAACTTGTATTCCCGGATGCAGTTGTACAAAGGGCCGTGTGCTTGATTACCATGGACGCTGCATTCCAATCCGGGATTGTCCATGTGATTACAATGGTCGTAATTACAACCCTGGTGAGACTACTAAGCAAGGATGTAAAGATTGGTATGTATAAGTATTTTTGATGATTATTAAAATTTTTTTTTTTTTAATTCTTCATTCATTATGTGAAAAATAATTTGTATTTTTTTAAATTTTTGTCATTTTTTGCTGTTTTTAAAAGTTAATATTAGTAATAATGTGATACAATATTTCTAATATCCTTATGGTTTATTCATCAAAAATAATGAGTGTGTGTATAAGGTCAATACATTGGGTATCTGTTGCATGTTTTTACATATTTTTTAGATTTCTTACTTGGGAGATACCATGTTTTTAAAAAGGGGTGTTTTTCTTCTTTTTTTTTCAAATTATGAAAAACTTCCAAACTTTAATTGCTCATAAACCTCAAAGTAGTGCTTTTTTAGAATTGATTTTCTACAAATAGGCAGTTCTAATGCTCCCTTAGAGAATTCCAGTTTAAGAAATATGGGTATTTAAAAAACGTATGAGCAGTGTTGCCAGAAAAACTGTCATTTTTCATTAAAAATAATTATAATAGTAAAATCTACCAGTTTTTTTCCGCTGATTTATTAAGTGTTGTTAGAGACAAACTAAAAGAAATGATTCTTATTATAGGCCTACATAGGCCAACATATGAAGAACTGCTAATGGGATGGTATAAACCGTCATAATAATTTTAAATTTACAACTACAGGACTTTGATTATGGAGGGCATTATTATGACATTTGACCTGGTTCAGAAAGTGGAAAACAAATTTCAGAAATACAATAGTGTATTTTGGTGTGCATTGAACCACAAAAAAACAATGAAATTTTTAAAGAAATGACCACTGCGAAGGTTTCTGATCAACCTGTTCGCCAACATCTACCAGTCTGTGCTCAAGGCCAACCTAGAAATGAAGGATACGTTTAATAATAATCGTTTGTTTTTCTGTCCCGAAGATGGATTTAATCCCCTGTATCTGCACTGTATCTGCATTACTTCTCTACACACAGGAGTATACATGGGTACCTGGTAGGGTTAACTGCCAAAATGTGCTGATGTATCTGCTGCAACTCTATGGAATACTCCCCCATGGAGTTTGAGTTTGTGTTCCATAGGCATTTAATTCAATGACCGGGGGTAGTAGTGTGAAGCGCTTGTTGGCGTTAAGTGCTATATAAATCTAACATATTATCATTATTATTAATTATTATTATTATTATTATTATTATTTTTAGTCCTACATAAGCTTCTGTGCACTAGAAAATCAGATTGTTACAGGAATTTGAATACAGACCTGATAATCAAACACTGTTGGACAAAGCAGAATTAGGTTATGCTAAAATGCTTTCAACTGACACTTCCATATTCCCATGGTAGCTTTTTACTCTTCTAATGTCTAATCTTTCAATTTAATTTTCATTTGCTCCAAAAGCCATCAGTCTACTATTATCTGCCATACAAGAAACATTACATTTAAATTCATCAATATATATTTGCAATGGCCAAGAAAATCGTAAAAAAAAAATTAAACAGATCAATGTAGCAGAGTAGTACAAATGGAGGAATTGTTGGCAGAAGGCAGATAGACATTTAGAGAATATGAAAATCATAACTCGTCATTGAAAGCGAATTTATCATGGATTGCTTTTGTCAGAGTGATGTTTGAATTTGTTTGGTTTTCAGACAGTTAAATTAAGTTGTTTAATTTATATGCAATGCAGAATAATATTGAGGTTAACATACATGAAATAAATCTGGCAACACATGTTGTTATTATAGTCATGTATATAGTAATATTATGGTTACATGAGTTATATTTTATATTATAATGTTTTCCGTACAGTAAAAAAATGTATATTTTCAATATTTTTTAATGAAAAAATGCTGCTTTTTTGGCAACACAGTAACGCATATTGATAAACCTTGCAACATGTTCCTCAGCATGTTGTTAAACTATTTGAAATGAGCCTGGAAACACATTTCTTAATATGTTGTTAGACAATTTATGTAACTATAGTAACATTATTGTGAAATAAATTTAATTTAATTTCTAGTGTTATCCATTCAGTAAAAAATGATATATTTTGTATTTAAAAAATGCCGTTTTTTTCTTAAAATACCGCATCCACTATTGACTATCAATATATGGAAGATGGTGGACATGTTTGCACCACTTTGGAAGTTACAGATAGGTTTCTGAGGTATACTTTGAAAAAAAAAAATTTGAGAAAAACCCCCTTTTGTAAATAACGGTATCTTCTAAACAGAATTTTTTACACAATTTTTTTTTTTGCGATAAATGGAAGTTAATACCTGGTTATTTACATGGATGATCACAAAAAATATATATAGTGCATGTTCTTTTTTTTAATAAGGTCTGAATGTCAGTGTTTTTTCACTTCTGAAAATGTCTAAAATTGACAAAAACTGTAAAATTTAGATAATGGGTTGTTGCCATGACAACAAAGGCTAAAAAATTAAATGTCATAGATGTGCTTTTTACCCAAGTATCTATTAATGGTAAAAATTTGAGAGAAATCTATTTTTTGATGTCTGCCACCAAATCTTTGATTTTTATGGACAACCATTGTTAATGTTTAATATAAAATAATCATGATTTTATCCTTTTTCCATTCAAGTGTATGTACCAATGCTCTTTGGCAATGTGACAACTCCACATGTGATTCTAATGAGAGTTTCTGTGGAGAAAACATGGAATTTGTTGATTGTCATAACCGCTGCCCTGTAACATGCTCCAACTATTATGATGAACAGAAATCTTGTAGTACTTCAATATGTGAACCTGGATGTCAATGTCTCACAAACTACATATTGGATGGTTTGTTCTAAATTATTTTTGTTTGCTCAATTTTTTGTACACTACACATAATAGGAACATTTCTTGTATTACCCCCTTGCACCCTAAATGTTTTTTAATTTGAAACAACTTTAGACCTAATATGGTATGTCAATTTATGTTCATTCGGATAATATTAATACTGTCTCTTATACACATCTAGATGTGTATAAGAGACAGGTATACTTGTTTGTTTGTGCCTTAAAAATCAAAATATTATTATTAATATTATTATTATTATTATCATCATTTTACCAGCCATGAATTATTGTTACATGAAATTATTCATTTTATCTTCAGTAATATGATGAATAATAATTTCTCATGATTTGAATAATTGATAGGTGACCGTTGTGTTTTGTTGGAGGATTGTCCATGTCATCATGGAGAAAAAGCCTACATAAATGGAGAGAGTTACATTGATAATTGCAATCTATGGTAGGTCATTGTCTTTTCAACAGCCCCATGTATATATTTCATAAACCAAAATATTTCTACTTGCCCAGTCACTTATAATTTAAAATCTAATTGTCGCTGTTTTTTTTACTTTGTTGAAATAAGGAGAGAGTAAAAGCATATTTTTGAAATGTTGAAGGTATTTTACTAATACCTGAATACGTCCTCTGCTATGCCACTGATGTATATATGAGATATGCCATGATGAAACTTTCATCAAGTGTTTATTTTCACTTCAATAGCACTTGCAATGGTCAGAAATGGACATGTGAGGAAAACGAATGCCCAGGTGAGTATTGCAGTCAAAGGTTCAATTATTTATATTTACACCATATGTTCTGCTAACTGGTTCATTCATGATTTGCCAAAAACATGCGAAACCAAATTATAGGAAGAATATAAAAAAAATATACAAATATATAATACAAAAGTTATCCCTTCAGGGCTGTAGCCACCGGTACAGTCGATCAGATTTCAACCTGACCACTTTTTGACAGACCACAAGTTAATTGATTAGGTTTTGAATAGGGAAACAGGCTAAATTCCACCTGTATGTTTAGACTTGACCAATCCCTCTTGACATAACTCAGAAACCACAAGTCTTTGAACTCTGGGGTGAACGGTTAATGATAGTTTACTTTATTTTCTTCTCTTTAGTGAAAGATTTATAATGATTAATTAAGAAAATGGGGTGCATTTTTTCTTCAGTTGAAATTCAGTGTCTATGTGGGCTTAGCTTTTATCCAAATCAAGTAGGTAAATTACTATACACAGTAAGCTTTTGCAGAAAATCAGACTAAAGTTCCCTTATATACTTGCCTAAGACCTATATTCATTTCTTCACTAAATTACCTAGTCAACTGACAAGAAAAAATATGCCTTTATCTGTATATTTATCCTGATAATTCTAGTATGCAACATGATTATTTTCTTTAAAAAAATATACTGTAAATAGGCTTTTTTAAGCACTTCTCTTAAATACATGTCAAGTACGGATCCAGAGTTTTCACCCTGACTATTGCACATATGGGTTCCCATGGTGGGAGGGTTCAAGAGAAAAGAGCTAGCTTGTTCTGTCACTAAAAGACAAATTTTGGGCATTGGGGGTGGGGGGTTTCGGCTCCTCCTTTGAAAGTTGTTTTCTAAATGCTTTGAAATGTACTTTTGTACATTATGAGACGTCTATTATTACATACACTCTGAATTCTTAGTTTTTCCCAACTTTACTATGGATAATTAATAATTATGATGATGATGAGTAGGAGGAAGCTAGGTGATGACAGGCTCCTGTGCAAGGTTATTTAACAGGCCCTTTGGTGTGTGAAGTGTCAATCGAGGCCTGTAGCCTGAGGTAAGGTTGGGAATTTGGCAACATTATCGTTGTCGTCGAATGTTCCGTGCACACAGTCGGATAATATTAATATGACTTATGATATCTCTTATTACTGTAATTTGCATATCAAATAACATTACCAATGTGGTCTAAAATCACTATTTTGGGCCATAAAAACTCACTCCGCCTGAATTTTTCAAGTTAAAGCACCACACAAATTTGACCCAACCTTATATTTCTGATAAATTCATGTATTATGCATAGTAACGTTGGCGCCTGCAATGCTCTGGAGTGAAATGTTAAGATAATTCAACATTTTTCATTCAGGACCAACTACAGAGTATTACTGCAAACATTTATTAATTTTTTATTACCATCCCTTTGATTTTCACTAATTCTTTCCTATCCTGATCACTAAATCGATATAGTGCCTCAGATTTGGTTCATCTCATGGTGATGGATATCACAACTGAGGAAATAGAAGCATTAGGATCCATTATTTCTTAAAAAAATTAAGCTTCAAGCAATGCGTTTTAGAAAATAATGGCTCCTTCGGCTTTTATTTTCTATAGCATACTCAAAACCTGATTGTAATTGCTTTTATTAATCACCACACACTACAGTATGAGGATGTTTTACTGGTACCAAATTTATAATATTTGTTGAACTTTATGTACATCAAGTGTTTGGACCCGATCTGATTTCCACAGGTATATGCAGTATGTATGGTGAGTCACATTTTACATCCTTCGATGCAAAGCTGTTTGAATTTCGGGGCGAATGTGTCTACACCCTAATGCAGAGCACAGATGACTGTGATTTTAAGTTTTCTTTGAAATCAGAAAATGTCAAATGTGGATCTTCAGGTGTGTCCTGCACAATAGTTATAACCTTTTCGTTTACCTACAATGGAATTAGTGATGAAATTAAACTTGTACGCGGTAAGAAAGTTGAAGAGTCAAGTTACTCACTCTTAAAGGTTCATAGAGTTGGCAGCTATGTTTATGTGGCAGTTTCTGAAGGTATTACTCTACAATGGGACATGGGTACACTGCTTTATATCAAGCTGGACCCTAAGTATGCGAAAAGGGTGAGTTTAATCATCTTTTCTTTCAAATATTGCAAATTGGCAATATTAAAGTGGAGCATTGTGAGGTTTGCGTGCGCTGGCCCCTTACTAAGTTTGCGGCGGCTCTAAACTATATGATTTAGGTAACTCATGCTGTTACCATTCTCTTTACCACAATACCCGTTCCAGCAATAGCTCTGACGGGTTGAGGAACCTCACTTTGCACTGACCTTAACTGACAATCAAACTCGATATCAAAAGAGAGAGCTGAAATGTTAATTAGTTTTCCAGCAAGTTGTCAATAAATCACATAGACATACCTATGTTATAGTATAGTATAGCTGACCTTGCATGGGCAATAAATTACAAAAGCTATGATTATAATCCAATTAAAGAGCAATTACCAGAGAAAGGCCTAATGTCCCAAAAGATGGTTGGAAATCAGGAAAATTTTTAAAGGGTAGAAACACCTCATGAATTCGACTGTTAATTGGGAAAAAAACAATTGAAAGAGCTAACAAATTATACAAAGCAATTAAAACTATAAATATACTGTTTTTATACCACAACCTAGACAATAGGCAAATGCCAACTCACTTACACCTATTTTGCCAGAGGTTGAGCTTACAATGTCTGTATCCTGTTGTTTGGTAATCCTAAAGTTAAAGGTTTTCATCTCACTTTTCTTAACTTGTGTGAAATAGCATAATAAATATTAAATATTCGATTGGTCCTTCCTACAGGTTACTGGCCTATGTGGAAACTATGATGGTGACAATAACAACGATTTTGTCACTTCTAGTGCGGGTCCAAGTGTTGCCACTGCCATTGAATTTGCAGACAATTGGAGAGCAATCAGAGGATGCCCAGACAGCAAAGTTTTTGAGAACCCTTGCAGTCAGGTACCAGAGAGAGAAGCATGGGCTAAGAGGAAGTGTGCAATCCTCAAGTCGGATATATTCAGCGCTTGTCATTCTGAATTGCCTTATGACAGTTATTACCAGAGGTGTGTTGCCGATGCATGTGGATGCGACTTCGGTGGAGACTGTGAGTGTTTGTGCACCGCAGTCAAAGCGTATGCACACGATTGTATGATCAATGGCGTCGTAGTTTATTGGCGTTCAAATGATTTTTGTCGTAAGTTTCCATTCTTGTTATTAAATAATAAAATATTTATTTTCTTCCCAGAAACATGAACTTATGTATATATCGGGCGCAGCTTAATGAGAAATGAAAAATAAATGTATTTTCACATAAGATAAATCCGCTGGCTGAGGAAGAACCCAGTTTCCTTTATTTTTTTAGACTAACCATGATGATGACAATGACGTTTTGATGATGAAAATGGCTGCAGTTGTGGCAGTAAGGTGGCTGTGATCGTGATGGTGGGGTGTGATAATTAATAATTATCACTATCATATGTAATACATAATCATCGTGCCTAATTTTAAATAATTTTTAACTCAAATTTCATTATTTTTAAAAAATAAAAATATATGATGATAGATCATAATTTTGTAGAAACCAACTACAGTATAATTTTGATTGCAACATCCTTAATACATTTTGCTTTAAAAACATGTCCAAAAGGTAAGTAATTTGCAGGTAATTTGCCTATCGACTTTGAGGTAGCATTATAAGTAATGTTCCAAAATTATGATAGTCAAACATTGATAATAGTATGTTATTCAAGCTTCATAATCAACCTCAACATGTGTTCATGATATTGTTTTCAAAACATGCATTTCCAAAAACACAATCATTTAATATTGGCAACTAAATTAATGTTTTGTTGTTTAATGATATAGCAATCCAGTGTGATGGATGTGGCAGCTGGGTACCATGCATGACCCCCTGCCCCAAAACGTGCACAAACTATTGCTGTGATGAAAAATGTGAAATTGATGGATGTGTGGAAGGCTGTCAGTGTGAAGAAGGCCTGCTTTATGATCCTGACACAGAAAAGTGTGTCTCTCAAAAGGAGTGTTCCACCACATGTAGATGCATATCAACAACTATTACACCAACAAGTAAGTAACTATTGTACAGTATTTATTGTGGTAGATTATCCAGGTGAATGCAAGTAAAAGCATCATTGTTAAAGGCATTCTATAAATATGAAGAAATCTATCATCAATAATTTTTGAAAAAATATTACTTAATATTGATATGATTTCTTTTAGCTGAAACCAGGACACCATATTCTACTACTGAAACCACAACAACATACTCCACTACACCATACTCCACTACTGAAACCACAACACCATACTCTACTACTGAAACCACAACACCATACTCTACTACTGAAACCACAACACCATACTCCACTACTGAAACCACAACACCATACTCCACTACTGAAACCACAACACCATACTCCACTACTGAGATCACAACACCATACTCCACTACTGAGACCACAACACCATACTCTACAACTGAAACAACAACACCATACTCTACAACTGAAACCACAACACCTTATTCTACTACTGAAACCAAAACAACATACTCTACAACTGAAACCACAACACCATACTCCACTACTGAAACCACAACACCATACTCCACTACTGAGACCACAACACCATACTCTACTACTGAAACCACAATGACTGAAACCACAACACCATATTCTACTACTGAAATCACAACACCATATTCTACTACTGAAGCCACAACATCATACTCCTCTACTGAGACCACAACACCATACTCTACTACTGAAACCACAACACCATACTCCACTACTGAAACCACAACACCATACTCCAGTACTGAAACCACAACACCATACTCCACTACTGAAACCACAACATCATACTCCACTACTGAAACCACAATGACTGAAACCACAACACCATATTCTACTACTGAAACCACAACACCATACTCTACTACTGAAACCACAACACCATATTCCTCTACTGAGACCACAGCACCATACTCTACAACTGAAACCACAATGAC